AACAAGTTAGGAACTCCTTACGACTCTGTGATACTGTCTCCCCGTAAACATCCCCCTGCCTGAGCCTACAGCCTTTTCCCTTTCCTCCACCTCTTTCCCATAAAAGATGCCCGACTTTCCCCCGCCTGCAGTCCTGCCATCACCCGGGGTGATACCAACATCGTATGAGCGGCTCATCCAACACCACAGCCTCCCAGGACTGTCACTGACACCCCAACGTCAAAGAATTTCACCCCCATCACGCTTCAACCGCTCACTCTCCGCCATGCGTGGGACCCGCCCTTACCTGGCATTGCTTGACCTCTGTATCAGGCGGCTGAGGCTCAGGTACAGTGTGACAACAAACCCCCAAATCTCAGTGGCTTCCAATACAATGTGTGTTTCTCTGTCCTCTGTTCCCTGTTCCGGTCAATCTTGGAACCAGGCTAAAGCAGCAGCCCTCATTCCGGGGTGCGCTAGCCTCACGCTTAGGGAAAGGTGCAGATTGGCCCCCGAAATGGTCCCCAAACCTCTGCTCAGAAGCAAGCACGCTTCATTTCCACCCGCATTGCAACTGACAAGCCTCCTAGGGGGAGGAAGCACAAGGCCTGGTGGAGAGACGTGGCAGGCGTCTTAGAAGCCCCTTCTCAGGGCATCAGTCTGCCTTAGAACGTAGTGGCCGGCCCCGCCTGTTCTCAGCCCACTCCTACGATGCCATTCTTCCCATTTCATTAAGGCTTCCTGTTTCCTGTCACCCCTTCCTGGACACAGTGAGAACGGACACACTGAACACTCGGTAGGCACTGACTTGACATCTGTTACCTCATGAGGTGATTGGGGCTTACAGAAGTCGAATAACCTGCCTCATTTTCTAGTTTAGAACCATCGCTTCAACTATCAGGAAACAAGGGCCAGTTAGGACTGTGAGCCCAGGTGGGGGACACGAATGTGTAGTAACAGCGGTCTGCGCGTGGTGCGGGTCTCCTCCTGAAGCGCTCAGCAGCCGCACCTGCTGGCTCTCAGCCGGGGACAGTGCTCTCCCTCAGCGACATGCCTGGAGGCATTTTTGGTTGTCATAACTGGTTGGGTGGGGAGCGCTGCTGGCTACTGGCATCTGTAAGTAGAGGCTAGGGATGCTGTTCAATGTCCTACAGCGCACAGGACATCCCTCCCCACAGCAAAGAAGCTTCCAACCCCAAATGCCGCCGGCACTGAGACTGAGAGCCCGGGGCTAGAGGCGGGGGACTCGCAGGTGACTGTCTTGCAGAAGCTTCCTGGTCGGCTCTCTCCTCTTCTCCAGAGTGTTAGTTTCCAGCCTTCTCCATCCTCTTCAAACCCTCACCCCAACCACCCGCTCTGTTATACTCCACTCTCTCCTTCCACGCCTTTGGCTGCGCTAACCTCTTCAGCCTTCCCGCAGGCTACTGCCTCCTCCCCTAAAGGCCTGTGGGTGTCCTCTCTCGTCTGTGGCACCCTTCCCCTCCTCTTCAAACTCCTATTTTGCCTTTAGAGCTCAGCTTCTCATTTCTTCAAGGGGGTTATTCCTCAACCCTTGACCAAATTAGGCCCCTCTTCTCTATTTCTCCTCGCAGCATGTGTTCTCCTAACATATTTCTTCACTGCACGGATAGTTTATGTGTAACTAGTTAGTCTCCCTAAGCCATGGGAGCCGGGATCGCACTCATCACCTTCACTACTATATCCGCCGCATCTGGAAAGTACAAGATACGTAGCAGTTACTTCATATTTACGGCCCAGGTCGCTCCCAAGCTCTATTTCCATTTCTTTTTATTTTTATTAAAAAAAAATTGGGGCGAAGGTAATTAGGTTTGTTGATTGATTTTAGTGGAGGCGCTGGGGATGGAACCCAGGCCCCCGTGCATGCTGAGCTACACCCTCCTCCCTCTGTTTCCATGTGAATCTCCTCATATGCACAAAATCAACATATCTAAAACTAAACTCATCATTTTTTCCTACCTCACCACCACCATCAAAAACTACACTTTTATCCATATTCTGTATCTCAATGAATGGCACCACCAGCCACCAACTGCCCAAGCCATCCGTGACCCCTCCCTTTCCCTCACATCCACATTCATTCATTCATGGATGAATCATCCTGTCACTTCCACCTTGATCTCCCTCAAATCCATGCACTTCTTTTGGGCTTTTGGCTCAGACACAATGGTTTTAACTGCTGACTAACTCTTCAATTCTTAGTTGCCTTGGACAGATTAATTTTGCTAAACCTTATATACCTCATGGGATAACAGATGTCAAGTCAGCACATACAAGTATTCAGTAAATGTTGACTATTATTACTCTTTCCAGGCCCAGTGCCGTTGCCTTAGGGGTATTATCATTTCCAGCTTAGCTTGCTGCCACAGCCTAACTGTTCTCCCTGCTTCTGGTTGTAAATGAAAAATACTGCCAACCATATCAGTAAACAAAGAAGGCTGAAGCCATCAAGTCATCAGCGGCTGCCACCACCCCCCAGTGAAGACAAGCCTGCAGCCAGGCCTCTGCAGCCACTCACAATGGTGCCCTCTGAAGGGACTCAGAATTCGAAAGGACAGGACACTGGCCCTAGATAGCCAGGTGCTTGTCAAAGGAATGAATTCAGTGAGCCCAAATGTTTGCTTCCTCCCATACACAGAAAAGCACTAAATTCTGTAACTTGAGATGCCTGGCTTTCCTTAGATAACAAGTAATTTTCCATTGTTCTGACTACCTGGTCTTTGCTGCAAAGCTCCTGTATATCCTAGCTCCCCCCCTACCTCTTCGGAGCAGTGCCTCAGAGCGACCTGAGAGGCTGTCATCCTGGGCTGGAAGGGGTTCGAGTCCTCAGAAACGTCCCCAAATAAAACATAACCCACAACTTTCAGGCTGTGCATTTACTTCAGTTGACATGGTCTAGCCAGCACCCCACTCTGTGACCAACAACGCAACCAGAATGATCTTTCAAACATGCAAATGAGATCATGTCACACTCCTGCTTAAACCCCTTTGATGGCCATCCACTGCCTTCAGGATGAGGTTCAAACTTACTAGCTTGGCGCAACACACCTTCATTACCCGGCCCCCCCAACACTCCAGTCCCAGCTCTCGTCACTTCTCCAATTGCCTCCTTTGCTCCAGTTACATGGGACAACTTCACGTCCCCTAAACAAGCCATTCTCTTACCCGGACTTCTTTCATCTGCTGCTTCCTCCAGCCCATGTGGAAACTGTCTCACGCCCCTCACTTGATTGCTTGACCACAGGCAACTTGAGGGAGCTTCCACACTCACTGTGGTATTCCCAGTGCCAAGCAGGTTTGGCTCATGTTAATGCTTAACAACTATTTACTGAACGAATCTGATTTCTCCTTTATTTTGAAGAGGAAAGAAAGGAAAAGGAAAACATCAATCAAATGAGGTTAGGGGTGGGGATGTACAAGGTTATCCCCGTATCCCCAAACCTGAAAGCTTCCTAATAGCGCCAATACTTGACGCACCTTCAGAGGCTGGATTTGCGTAGGTTCTAGCAAACAGGCACTGACCAGGCGTTTGTCTGCCAACAGCTTAGCTCGCTTACTGGTTTCAGCTTGCCTTCTAGCCTCAAGGCTGCTTTCAACAAGATGATAAATCTGCAGCACCAGCAATAGGATGTAAAAATCCATGAAATAAAACACGGTATGTAGTTTTTATTAAAAAGTAACTTAGACAAAAATTTTTTTTAAAAAGTAACTTAGAGGTCGCAAAGCTTGGAAATGGTTGTGCGGACCAGAAGCTGGCCTCCTCCTCGTCTCTGACGCACTTTTCGGTTTTTGTTTTTTTTTTTAAAACACTGTCCCTGCTCTTTCCTGTATCACTCCCATCCCACCCCACGGCCTCCTCCTACAGGTAATCTATGACCTATCCCTAGGGGACATCATTTGTGTGACAGCCTATGAAGGGTGCTCCCAAAAGTTGTGCAGTGAGCACCAACCTGTGCCGACATCAGCTCAGGACAACTGACCGGATCCCTCCCAAATGGCTTAGCTGTCAGGGCTTGAACTGCTGAAAAGCATGTGGGCAAGTCCACTTTTCTTTGCTATCCCTCCAAAGAACAGAAATTGGGGGCCAAGGCTCAGCTTCAGTGAAGCTCCTGAATGTAAAATGTTGTGCTTTTTTTAATAAAAGCTGAAGTTTCATTAGCTTTTTAAGGCTTTAATTCCCAAAAGTTTAGGAACGCCTGCTAGAGAGCCTAGCAGTTGCTAGGCGTACGCGTGATTAGGGTGTACTTTGTGACACCCTCAGTTCCCTCCTGCACTAGCCCCAACTGAAAAGCACAACAAAATAGTACCCCGCACCTGGTATCTCTTCATATGAAAACTGAATAAAGAGGCAAACCTGTATCTCACCGTGTGAAATCTCTTCAACTGCAAAGAGGGTAGACAGATTGATACTGCGGACTCAGAAGAGTTAGGCACAGGCTTGAGCCTAGAGAGATGGTTTGCCATAAATCACTCTAGATATGCAGGTGCTGTATGTTTTCTTAATTTTCAAGGGGGCTAGCGGGAAAGCTCCACAACTCACTGCCTACCTAGCTAAGTGTTAAAACACACTCTGCAAAATGCTGAGGTTCCTTCAAGAGTGGGAACCTAAAAATGAAATACAATTACTCTAATAGTTAACCATGTTGGTTGGGGGTGGGGAGCAGGGGCGGGGATCAAACGTCACTGTTGATTTTTTTTGTTTGTTTTTTATTGAGGTACAGTCAGTTTACAATGTTGTGTCAATTTCTGGTGTACAGCGCAACATTTCAGTCACATGAACATACATACACTCATTTTCATATTCTTTTTCACCATAAGCTACTATAAGGTATTGAATGTATTTCCCTGTGCCACACAGTATGAACTTGTTTATGCATCTTATATATACTGTCAGTACCTGCAAACCTCGAGCTCAGTTTATCCCTCCCTCTGGCAACCAGAAGTCTGTATTCAGTGCCTGTGCATCTGTTTCTGTTTTATATGTAAGTTCATTTGTCTTTTTCTTTTTAGTTGCTGTTGATTTGAAGTCCAATAACTTCTATTGCAAAAGCCACTCTCTTCATCCCTAAGTCAGACCAAAGACAATACATGAAGACAGAAAACAAGATTTTGCTGTATACAAACACAAGTACATATTTGCCCAATAATGACACCACAAAACAGCAAAATGAAAAATATTTAATACACAAAAGAGCACAACAGAATCAACAGGTATTAAAAGCATCGCATAGTGCAAACCCTCAAAAGCTAACGGAGCTATTACCCTCGATGTGCTTAGAAAGATCAGGCAAGAACTGAATCCGCTCCTCACCTGGTGAACTGGTCAAAGTTATCCTAAACTGCCTTTTCCTTCCCGTTCTATGAAACCACACTCACTTCTCCTGCTGACTGTGACTACCTAATCAGGAAAGCCGCATGTTTCCTGGATACTGACGGCGCATTTGATGCCACCTAGTCAAGTGCATGTAGGACTGAGAATTTTTGTGTATCAAGACCACAGCAAGGCAGCTGTAGCTACCACCAAACTGACACGCACACTTCTCTCAGAACCCAGAGGCGAGCCCTTCTAGACGAGAGCCTCACGCCCAGGGAAGGACAGCTCAGCGAGAGGTGTGGGCAAAAGGACTCAACGTGGCCCTGTGACACAGACACAGAGCGGTGCTGGCGCTCAGCTCCCTGATGTGGGATATTCTGAATATTCACCCCAGAGCTCTGTCTACCAAAACTGCAACTTCTAATATATTCTGCAGGGCAATGAGAGGCTAAGGTTCTCTCTGACACTTAATTCCGACAACAAACTATGAGGTAGAAAGGGTAGTACGAGCACTTACTTCGCAGACGAGAAAAACTGAGGCTTAAAGTCAAGACTGGGGCTCAAGATGGTGGAATCATCTTACTTACTCCTCATCTCCACCCACCAGGCGCTTCACAGCGCCGAGCTCCAGGCTAGGAGTCCTACTCAGGGGCTACGTAAGACATTTACCTCACCAAGTGCTGAGGAAGTCAGAAACATCTCACTCCTCCTTCAAAACATTTTCTACTACTTCCTAAAGAGGGAAAGAAAAAAACCAAATGAGACATTTTGATTCTTTATGAAAAAGGAAGTGGAAAAAACAAGGCAGCTGTGGGGAGAAGAAATAACCCTCCTGTAGGAAGAGGACAGGCTGAGTCAATTTCTTACTGCTGAGACGACAGAGGAACTAAATCCCGTTGCCCCATCACACACACAAGTCCTCAACTCCAAGTTGTTTTTAGCATAGGAACTCTGATGTCACATCTTCCCTCCTTATTGCTAGAATCCACCAAACTCTGCAACAGAAACATTCCCCATGACTGACTGGAAAAGAGGAAGCTTATCTAAAGATAGTACAGTTACAACCATCCAAGGGGTGATACAGAGGCCTTTGGTATAAAAGCAATGTCCAGAAGCAGATGACACTAAAAACTGACACAACATTGTAAACTTACTGTACTTCAATTAAAAGAAAACACATAAATTATTAAAATCAAAGATTCTGCTTTCAGGTAAATGCCTCACAGAAAACAAACAAACAAAAAAAACCATAGATCAAAGTCTATATTGCATCCAAAGCTAACATTTCAAACCTCAAGCAGGTGGCACAGCAATATGCCAACAAAAGCACACGTGGAAGAAGGCAAACTGAACCAACGGGAGCAGCAAAAACTGTATAAGCTGATTTTTCCCAAAGGGCAGGAGAAGCCACCACATGGAATCAGCCTTCATTCACAGTCAATTTTTTAAAATAACAAATTGACTGTTTTTTCTTAAAGGGGGGAAGCATGAAGAGTGAAGTAATGACCTCGCCTACTGTTAACAGGAAAAGCACAAAGAGCGAGGACCACCTCCAGTCCCTGCTGTCTCCTAAAACGCCTGCCCTGTTACAAATGGGAATAAAATGTGGGTTTCGCTTAAAAAAAAAAAAAACCAGAAGTAGATAATAACTTATAATCATTTTGAACTCCAGGGAAAAAAGCGCTACAGTAAAGAAAGAAGTGGAAATGTCTGACATTGAAGAACTTACTGTTTAAAAAAAAAGTCTTGGGATAAGAAATTAGACGCTCTGATAAACTCCGTTATAATGCCAACTTTCAATAAAGCATCTGCAATGACAGCAACTGTTGTGTGAAAGGAATTGCTCTGACAGCGCCATTTGGCCCTTTTTAGAATCCCTGACCTGACAGCACCATTTGGCCCTTTTAAAAATCTTTGACTCATTCTACCAAAAAAGTGAGGAATTCTATCTGCTGTGTTATGCTCCCAGAAGACATTAAATAAAGATGCTGTATGAAGGAAAACAAGATAAAGAAGCATCATCTTGGATTTCAGACAAGCTACCAAGAAATATTAACTTCCTCTTTCTGCACATACACTTCTCTCCTTGTAACATTCCAGTCATTCAAAAGGCTCTCGATAGAGGAACAGTAAACCCAAGTGTACGTTTATTATAGTATTTCCTTTACCAATGCCACATTCACCAATAATGACATTATTTAAGATTGCACATCCATTGCCTCAAAAGATCTCAAAATGCTTACAAGACATCCTCCCACAGGAGAGAAGCGATCTGGTGGCTCCTAAAGAAAGAATATAGCCAGTGGCAAACAAGGAAAGCTCTGTCAACAGGAAGGACGTCCCGAGGCAATCTGGAAAAACTGTCCCCAGATTAGGTACAGGGAGCCACTTGAACCACTACCTTAGATAACCCTCATTTCCAGCTTAGCTTGAGAGTCCTCAGTATTTCTCCTCATGTGCTAAACTGCAACTCAGCTAATCACAAATCTGAGAAATTCCAGCAAAGTAACCTCAGCAGACCTACGGCAGTGCAGAATACCAGACATCTGTAAACACTGTACATGCTACTTTTGGCACGGGGAGAGCCTGCAGGTTCCATTGCCTCGGAAGTGCAGATTCTAAACACATTAACTATGTAAACAAAAGAACGGTTGCTGCTAAATCAAGAACCACGGGAACATCTCCTTTTGATAGATTGAATGGTTGAGAACAATGCTTTCTTTAAAAAGAAGTCTATAGCTATTTTTAGCAAAAGCGTTAATAGTCCTGATAGTGTGTGCACACACGGGTACACCCACAAATGAGAGAGCCATCAAAATGAATTCTTCTTTAGAACACGGGTCCCAACAATTTTAGCAGGTATTTGGCTAAATGGAAAACAACAGATTCACAGTATATAAAGCCATACACTTTCAAAAGTTCATATAAATCTCTGTGGAAAAAAAAACCAAATAGTTGGTTAACAAGTCTCCTCCTTTCAAAAGAGAACCAAGAGGTAACACTACAATAACTGTAGAACCCAAGACTTAACATTCACCAAGTTCTCATTTGTGACTGTCAAAGGAGCCAACAATGCATTGAATTGACATTAAAAAAAAAGATACAAATGATCCTGACCTTTAAAAATAAATTCTTCAAAGAAAATTAACATCTCACAAAGTATTACATACGTGTAAATATACATAAATTATTATTAAAACACAACTGAAATCTTCAAATGCTTGGCAGTGATTCAATCTTAGATAGTTGATGGCGGTGTGGTAGCTGGCCTGGCTGGACACTAATCCATTGTTCAAGCCTAGGATTGGGAACCTATGGACTGTGCGGAAATGTTAGTATCAGTCTAAAGCCTTGATCTAAGATTTTTACAAAGTCTGAATTAAGTATTATATAGAAAGCACACCAAATATAAGTATGGTGTGAGTAGAATGAGTTAACATTAAGAGACAGAAGACATTTTTAGCTGCAACCTAGAAATTCATTGTTTTTCTAAGGATCTGTCATTTCTGCTCTGAACTTTTTGTCTGGGAATAACATGGTCATAAATATTAATTCAAAAAACTAAAATAAGAAATTTGAGACTAATGTGGGATGATTTCATTAATCACAAGTCTATGGTGTGATGCAGTGGAAACGATAAACTTCACTGACACCTGCTTTAACAGCTCCTTTGCTCACAATCAAGACTTCCACCCAAGCATGGCCTACCTACAACTAGGAAGACCATGTAATTTAATGTCCAAATGAAGACATTCGAGAGTAAAGGGGGAGAAAGGGGAGAGACAGAGACAAACTGGATAGGATGCTAAAAAACAGGGGTGAACTGGCACTGTCCCCAGAATACCAGAGCATGTGACCACCCCAAGTACGAAACAAATGGTAGTGTCTGGAAGTCAAGAGTTTCATCATCACATAGCAGTAAACTATGAAATCTTCACCTACAAAACATGTCCTGCTTACCTGTACCGCAGTGGCATTGAAAAAACAAAAACAAAGTCAAAAACAGATCAAGAAGATGGCTTAGATTCCTGCAGGCAAAGAATTGCTCTGATAGTTCTATTGGGCCCCCCCCCTTTTTTTTAAGGATCCCTGACCCATCCTACCCCAAAACAGGAGGAATTCTACCTGCCTTGCTATGCTCCCAGAAAACATTTAATAAGGATCCTGGATGAAGGAAAATGATCTGCAGAAGCAGCATTCTCGATTTCAGATAAGCTACCAAGAAATATTAACTACCTCCTCCTGCAGATACATTTCTCTGTAACATTTCAGTCATTCAAAAGGCTCTTGATAGAGGTACAATAAACCCCAGTGTACATTTATTGTAACACTTTCAGCTCAAATGCACAGCTTGGGATCTTCTAAGCAAAGTACTTGATGCTAATAGGGACCATAAAAAGTCAGGTGAGCCAAGGGGAAAATAAAGTTGTGTAGCATAAGAGGTTCTGCCCTAGGCAAGGATGCACCAAATTAGCACCAAATATCTACAAACACAAATAAAATTTAATATTTTTTCTCATTTAAGTTTTCTAAAAACTATGACTTTATATAGGAGGAACCAGAGGGTACAAGTGCAGATCCCCTACTCTCCCTGCTCCTCCTTTAAGTTATTACTTGCAAAAGCACTTCACTGGCAAAAATGAAACAAAATTAAAGACTATCAAACTATTATGAATAGGTTAGTGGTGAGGGGTGGGGAAAAGGATAGAAAGTAATTTAACTTTCTGAATTTTTAGAGCATTATCCACGGTCTAACAAAACACTGAACTCCAAGGACTGGTTCTACTTACTGCAGGGGAAAGTCCTTGTCCCGAGTGCCTGAAGAGAGCCAGAGACCGAGCCTTATTCCCCAAGAAGTTCGGAACAAAACTGGAGAAAAGAGGTCAGGTTCCTCTGCTCCCTTTACTTGTCCTCCCAGTGGGAGGAGTAACTTAGCTGATTATATAAGACAGCCTGACATTTACTGAGCCTTGTCTCTTTGGGGAGAAAGGGTTACGGTCTGTTCTCTCCAAAGTCCTATTTTGGCTACAAGTCATAGTCTCCAATATTTTAAGGTTGCTAACAACATATTCATTGTGGAAAATTCAGTAAGCACCACCATTATAATATTCAACAAATAATCAGAAGGAAGTAGCATGGTTTACACATTTCTTACAAGAGGCCTGGATTCCAGCAAGAGCTTTATCACTAGCTGTGACTCAGCAGTCATTTAACTTCTTAGCTTACGTGCAAAATGAAGGGAGTAAATGAGTGCCTTCTAGTTTTAAAATTCTCTAACAAAACTTCCCCTCTAGAAATTAAATATCATGCTAAATGAAGAGATCTTGTTCCATCTACTTCCTGTACCTAGAATTCTCTCTAGGGCACGGCAGGACTTCCAGAAGTGTGGTCTGTTGATCACTTTGTCAGCTTCCAGAAACACTTGTTCAAATGGAAATCCCTGGCCCAGACCCCTCAAGGATCGAAGAGGGGGCTGTGTCGGGGGGAGTGGTGTGTGTGTTTGTGTGTGTGTGTGTCTTCAAAATAACTATATTCATTCATACACCATGACTTCCATAGGGAAAGTATCTTCCATATCTTCAATTTCCTTATGTATTACCCTAAGATTTATGTGCTCAGATAAGGCCTCTTGAGAGCTATCATGTCTCTTAATTACCTTCCTTTTCACAACTGCCATAGTCCCTATTTTCAAAAGAAAGGCTGCCTTTCATGCACCTAGAAATCTTACTATGGGGCATTGCCTCAGAAAGTTAAAAAACCTCTACAGGCATCAAACAAAAAGACGAGAAACCCCTAGAGGACTCCCAAGAAACAATGGGGACAGAGAGCAAAGAGAGCTTTGGTCAAAAACTCTTACAACTGTCACTGAGAAGACTGTGCTATCAATGTATGTAACGCATTTAATCGAATTAAAAATGAAGTCAATATTTTGATTCAAAGTGAAGTCTGATTTGGCTGACTATAGTTTTATAGTGAGAGCAGGCTTTGCCAGTGTATATGACAGTATTTTTTTCCTATAAATTCAATCAGTTAAATCTATAGCTATAAGGTTTTGCCAAAAAGATCTCCAAAGAACATCCACAATATATCGGATAGTACACCCTCTGCTTAGTACTTAAACTTATTTTTAAAATTTAGGTGTCAAATTAACATGTGCAAAAAGAAAACCAATCGAAGGTGAGAGCCATGAAATGCTGGAGGGCCTGCCTGGGAAGGGGCATGACGGGACATCCGGAGGCGACAGAAACGCTCCGTTGCTTGGTTTGGGTGGCTACTCAGATGCCAACAATTCATCAGAAGGCAACACTTTATAATTTGTTAATTATACTTCAATTTTTTAAATGGGCAAAAGGTTATATATACTTTCTCAAAATTCTTTTTTGGGGTATGTTAGCAAAACTGTCTGATACCATTTGTTTTAGGCACACATGGAAGAAATTTCTTGTTTTTCTAGATTTTACAAAAATTTTGGTTCCTCTGAACCATGCGGCCTGATTGCAACATAAAATGATCTACAATACTACATAACTTGACTAATCAAATACTTCTGTTTTTCACTGTCGGCTTTAATATTTTTCTAATAGCTGCCTTGAATTTTCTGCTTAAGGACATTTCCTAAAGAAACAATCTTCAAATAATTTGGTAAATAAATGAATGAATTTCCGTTTGTACTGGCAGCTGCTCCCTCCCAGACCCTCATCTTTGGGACAGAATGAAGTGATTAACTTATCTTTTCATGTTAATGGAGTCTCCAAATTGACACTCCAGTTCTAAAGAACTAATTCTCAACTTCTGTATAAGTTTAGAAGCAAAAATAGCCTGGAACACAGATTTTTATGTGAATAAATAAAAGTAGCCAATGGGTCACACTGCACAGAGAAGCTCAGCAATGAAACTTTGATAAGACTTAGCCCTGTTAAAAGGTCTCTGCAATTCATCGTTTCAGCTACGCTATAAAAACCTTAATAACCAGCTGAATCTCCTTCTTGCAAATCGGACACGAAGCCCCGGACTTCTTTAACCTCCGGGCACAATGAAAACAAGTGACAAGATGGCCTGTCCTCCCATGAATGATGTTTCCGTCTCGTGGTCTTTTCTCACACAGACTACACGGCTTCAAGAGATTCTGGCAATCCTCTGTGTTTTCTGTGTCTGTCCTCTGTTCAAAAAGGTTATCTGGTTGTTCTCCCATGCTTGATACGGTCTCTTGGCTTTCAGAACTGTGAGCCAAATCCAAGAATTCCACCGAGTTGCACGGATCAAAAAGTTTGGGGTTTTCTTCCTTTACGTATGTATCTTTAGGTCGAACAACTGGGGCCGATATGGTTCTTCTGCAGTCAGGGACATCAATTCCTTCACTCTCCTGCTTTTCCGGTATGGCAGTGATATCAGATGTGGAGAGAGAATGGGTTAACTTAGAGCAATCTGAATACCAATCCTTCCTCAAGGCCCAGCAACGAAAGCAGTACCTCTTGCTTGGAGAGTTAAATTTCTTGCACTCAGTACACTGCCACTCGTCCTACAAAGACAAGTGCCGCCAATTAATACTCACTCGGTGGTGAACAGGACTCCGAGACAAAGGGAGAGCAGGCCGCTCCTCAGCACCTCACACTAAGCTCGCACACGTGCGGACGCTCCACAGCAGTGGTCCAGCCGAGAATCTGAACAAATCCTATAGCTCTGTGTAAGCAAGTCCTGAGAAGTTTTACAATGACAGCAACACAACTGCCATCTCAAGCCAAAATATGATGTAGCTGTCTTTAAAAAAGTTAAATGCCTTTAGCTTCCCATCTAGTCTGGGTGGAATTTACATTGCTTGCTCTTCCCCACTGCCTTCCTTTTAAGTCATTTCTCTTTGGACAACTTACTCTTTTATTGAGCAAGAAGCTAAAGAATGAAGAAGAGATAATACTCGGTCACTCTTTACTAGTTAAGAAATGTTGTAAAATTTGTCAAAAAGGAAGCTAAAATTGAAATGAGATTTGAAAACTACTAAATTTACTCACGCTCCCTCACTGCTCTCAGTATCACAGGTACCTTGTACGCTTACGTCACATTCTCTGAAAAAATTAATGTTCTTGTCCTTGAATGCCAAGTAATGTTTTTCTTACTTCTCCATATTCAAATTAGGAGACACTAGAGCTTGATGAATTTTAAATGCCTTGCTTAATGCACAGGTAGCTCCCTGGAAGAAGTCAAGAGCATTTAATGTGGATAACTGCCTGGCTTTGACAGGGTCAAGGACTTGACACACCCTGACTTGACTACTTTCAGAACAAAGGCCAAGCACTTCAAGTTTAGAAGTCGTAACTCAATTGTCTGCACCAAGAGGCAGGGACACAACCACCTGTTAAACTAGGATGTTCTGCAGAGAGCTACAAAACATTCTTCCCAGTTTAAGACCCTCAGATCTCACTCGAAATGTTTTACAAATACTCAAAGGAACTTCAAAAAGATTTGGAATTAATAATTGATGGTGTGTCACATCTAAATGGCATCATTTTTCTTTTTCAGTAGTACATAAAATAATAGGGCTTATTAAATTCCATGGCATCTCTGAATTGATAAAATACAGTCTATTTGCCTAATAGGTTTTCTGGGCCCATGCAGTCTCAGAAGCGTGATTAAGAAGGAAACACTTATCTCTGCTATTTGTATTATGGTCATGAACACTTAATGGACCAATATATCCAACTTTATTACTTAGCTACAGACAGACAAATAATTTGCAATGAATTACCATAATGGTCAGCAGTGGTGGGATGGGAGATGGGGAGCAGGAGCAACACCAGAGACCACCTAAGATTTTTATATCCCCAAGGAGCAAAATGTAAAACCAACCCCTTCCTTATCCTTCCCCCCCACCATTCTTCCCACAGCGAGTCAGAGTTAGCTGAGGGAAGTACTAAAAGGGAGACGAGGAACTAGCATGAAAAGAGAAAAGCAAAGTACACACCTGAGTCTCAACTTGAGTTGCCAACTGGCAGTAAGTCCGTACCTGTCACCTAACAGCTGATACTCAATCTTCATTTCTTAGCCCTCCACTAACATAAACCCGCGTGGAAATTAAGCCCTTTTCCATTTGTTTCTATTTAAGAAAGCACTGAACGTATTATTTTTATACTTGACAAAGAGTTTTAGAGAACTTACAGGTCTGCCTTTGGGATTAGAGGCGTTTAGTGGGAAAAGCAGGACAGGACTACTCTGAATAACTGTGTATCTACTGCATACGTTCAAAGAGCTTTGACAGCAGGGAGAAAGGCACATGGAGAGGCATTTAAGTCATCCCTTTTCAACATAGGGAAAGGGTCAAATCGACTCATCCTCCTCTCAAAATCCAATAAAAATGTCTAACAAGAGGCAAAGAAACCCACATCTCTACCTAGGAAAGGGAACTGGAAACGGGGGAGGTGGACACAAGTGAACTGCTGGAACACTGACACCTGAAGACGCAGGTGGTGTAAGACAGCTCTTTTACTAGCGATTCGTACCTCAGAGGTAACTTCTACATCAGTCTCATCACTTATGGACTTGGAGTCCTCAAGGTCATCATTTTTCCCCACTTCAATCACCTGCGAAGGCAAAGACGTCTCATTAGTAAAGTTCATCTATCTCGGATGAGGCTGTTACCTGAAAGCAGAAGAGACAGAAGAGCTTCAGCTTAAAACTCACATTCTGCTCCCAGCACCAGCACTTAAAAAGGAGACAGCTCAGATGGGAGACCGAAAACATGATTCTGCACACACCTAGCTGGCATTTCAATAGAATAAATGACTGAGAAGCACCCAAGAAGGGTTACCAAATATCTTCTGCATTCAGAAGGGAGGTTCCCAAATTTATGAATTTAAATAAACAACAGAGTACAAGTTATTAAATGTGGAATGTTTTTATCTTGAGACTCTAGATAGGCATTCACAAGAATAAAACAGGATTACATGAGAAAATGGAAGTCAAAAAACCACTATTTAAAATAAAGAACTTAAATGTGAAGAACGAAAATAAAGTACTGTAAAATTTTACTTTTCAAATTCAAAAGTAAAGCTAGTTACGTGATACACTGGCTGTCCTGGAAAAACATGCCCGTGGACCAGAAACAAAAAGCCAGAAATGTGACAAGTGTCTTCTAAATTTTGAAATTTAGAATTTAAAATTCTAGAAATTAAAACCCCCATTATGTGATCCAGTGAATGAAATAAAACTCACTTATGACAGAATTACGGACCTCTGGACAGCAACTTTCTCACAGAAGTTCAAGTATTTGAAGTCCTATGTCTCTCCACAGAAGTTTCCAAATGTCACCTTTGTCTTCCTATTCTACCCACATGCACTCCCTCCCACTGCTACCCAGAAGTAACTAGTCCTCAAAAACCAAGCATCTACCTGTCTACCGCAGACACAGCAGGGTAGCCCTCAGGAATACAAAGTACTATGAAACGCCCTTAAATTAAAAGGATGACCCAACTGAGGTCTGTTTTTTGCTGTATTTATTCAATGGATATTTACTGAGAATCTTCTGTGTCTGCACCGGATCTGCTACCCAGGATCTTCTGAGATTTGAGCACGTGCTTGTATGACTCTTCACCTTGGTGCGAGCGCACCATGTGCACTCTGAGTTCTAACCCCCTTCTTTCTCCTTATTTAAAATTCTAAAATTTGCAGGAAGAACTCATCTGTCTGTTTCTATTTAGGTATAAAGTGGTTATGGAAGCTACTGAAATGTCTAAGAAAGAAAGATTTTTTTTCCTACAGGCTGCTGTGGACATTTAGAACTTTGCCTTGTTAGCAAAGCAAGGTCTCCAGAAAAAAAAAAAAAAAAAAAAAACTCCACAATGAGTGATAGCACAGGCAGGAAAGGGTAGCTTATTTGCTTCTAACAAAGTAGGAGCTTTACTCATAAAGTCCTATTCTATTTTTAAGACAGACTTAGTTAACTTAAAGTCAGATATAGAAAAATATTAAAAAGTAAAAAGGGGGAATTACATGAGTCATTTGTTACACAAAGGGTCAGGTCACCAGATTTGAACAGATTATACTATATGCATGTAAATACAGCCAACATGAGACTTTTCCACAACATACCTTTTTGTCTCTCACCTTCCCTATTTCTTCACTTGTTTGTTCCGTATCGGCAGCTTCAACTTTTATTCCAACGCCGAACTGCTCTGATACCGACTCATTCAAAAACCACAAGTCATCTGTGGTGTCTGAAACAACGGCAGTACCTACATCCTAACAGAAAAAAACAAACCTAAGTTTTTATAGTCAGAGGTTTATCAGAGATGTTGAATCAACGTAAATGAACCCAAAACACAATGTCCTCACACATCTCCAAAGAATGCCTACCCTTTCTTTAACAGGTTACTTGGCACCTACTGTGTATAAACTAATGGGTGGATGCAAGGGCACCTAGCAAAGGATTTTCTATTTTAACAGTAAATCAGGCAGAACAGCTGAGAAACAGTACTGAAGAATTTAAAAGCTAAAAGCTCATAGTTGCTCAACTAAAAGAGAATCCATTCCCTACATTCCTTTCTATGGACGGCACTCTGAGAACCCAGGAAACTTTCTATTAATTGCGACATATTCTTTCCTTTAATAGTCAATGATCTTTATTAAAGAAATATAAGAAATACTGATTGTAACTCAAATCTTCTGTCCTTTCTGAATTTTTAAAAAAATTATATTGAGGCAAAGTTGGTATATAACATTCCCTTCTTAATTCTTGAACAACTTTAAACATAACTTTCTGCATTCATCTATGAACACTTTATGACATATTTTTCTACAATGTTCACGAGACAACCATTATTTCGCCACTGTTGTATGTCCATTAATTTACTGAACAAATACTACTTATGCATCAGATACTGTTCTAGGTACTAGGCCACAGAATAAAGTGGTCAGTAATACAAAAGCCCTGACTTACATTTCGGTGGGGTCAGACAACAGCTACATAAACAAAATATAGTAACAGCTTTACAAAGTGAGAAGCGCAACGGAGACTCCAGAAGAGCCAGACGGTGCCACCTTGAATGAGGGGATGGCAGTGGAAGCAACAAAAGCAGGCAGTTAGATTTCAGGTGTTTTACATAAACAGCTGATAATCTGAATGCAGCACATGACAGAGAAACAACTCAGTGATATCCCTTGATAATGGCTAGAATAACCACGTAGAAGCTAGACTTACGAAGAAGGAAAGGCTGAACAGGAGTGTTGCTGCGAAAAAAAAAATCAAGTGTTTGCTTTGAACGTGTTAAAATGTCAGATCATCTAAGTGTTGAGCAGACAGCTGGATAGGGAAGCTGAACACTGAGGAGAGAGGTCAGGGCTGGAGACACAGATTTAGGGCTCATACGTATGCAGATGGTACTTAGAAGTCATAGCACCAAACGGGAATTCTTAGAGGATGCAATGTACGGTCACAAGTAACCCAGAATGTTACTCTTTCAAAAGAAAAAAGAAGTTCCTCTTCAAACATGAAACTTACCTGATTCGTCTGTAAATCAGTCGAGCCATTACTTCTAGGTGTATAGTTGTTTCTCAAGTTTCCTAAAAACCACCAAGGCAAGCCAGCTACATCCCACTCCTCAAGCCCAAGATCCAGCCTTGATGTCGCATCTTGGGTTAAATTTTCTAACAAGTCTTTATCTACAAAAGTCAAATGAAAAGGATGATAGCTGTGTACAAAACACTGAAGAATCAAGGCTCTCTTTGTAACACTTACAACCTCTCTATAAGACAGGTAAAAAGAAATTCCTCTTCTCAGTACGAAGGAATCAGAAATCAAATACCTGTCCCAGCTGCAGAGCCTAAATCTCCTTCCTCCCATTTAGGCTACAATAGCAACAAGTGACACTGGAGGTAATTCATCAAGAAATTTCAACTCTGAAAGCATCCAAACAATGACACTGTTTTAAAAGGATTTCTTTTTTTTTGTTCTTTAAATTTAAAAATTTTTAAACTTTTTTTTGTTAGTTTGCATGCTTACTATTTTAAGTTTTTAAAGCAGATTTATTTATTTTTTGAAGGGGGGAGGTAATTAGGTTTATTTAGTTCCTTATTTTTTTAATGGAGGTACTGGGGATTGAACCCAGGACCTTGTGTATGCTAAGCATGTGTTCTACTGCTGAGCTGTACCATACTCCTTCACAAAAGGATTCCTAAGGGGTCACTTAGTGGCATTTTAAACAGCCCTACCACTGTAATAACTAACTAATGACTTGCTTTAGTACATGGTGCCTGACAGTGGCTTGATCTAGTGGACTGTAAATGGTGATGGCACAGTGGTCCAACCTTTGAGATAGAAGCAAGGCAGTACAGACAATAACACACAATCATAAAGCTGTCAAGGCAGCGTCACTGGTACCACATATTTTCAAACACTTCTCAATCATTCATGTATTTCAATAGTAACAACAATTACGAAATACTGAACTCTACACTGTCCAAATAAATATACACATATGCCCTTTCTGAATCAATGGGCTCTTCTGGAGTTAAAATATCTTAAAATACCTTAAAATCTAGAAATACTGCAAATCCAAAACATACTAAGGGCCACGTGTTCCAAAGAGAAGATCTCACGTTGGACATCTAAATGATATTCAAGGGAGTTACTAACATAACCTTGTTGCTATCACATGAGATTCTCTTCCTTCCCACCGTCCAATCTTTTTTGTTGTGCTTTATTCTTTTCCTACTTTCTTACTGTCCTCTACCTCTTCCCAATGCACTAGGTATGCCAGTGCCAACCATGGGTGTCTAAATATGCTAAGGCACACATGGTTGGAAAAACGTCTGCAATAAATGGACCCCTGTCAGAGCAAAAGGTTACCCTATCTACTTACAAATTATGTTGATCCTGCCTATTAAAAGGCATACCTGTGTTCAGGGAAACTAACTACTTTTTACTTACTCATTGCTGAAATTATGAGAAACCTAATTTCTGAGATGGTGCCACATTAAAGTTATCTTCAACTATTTAAGCTCTATAACCTCCTATGAAGGGAATGAAAATAGGCCATCCTTTCTACATACAAAAATTCTGTCCTTTCTACCCATACACTTCCCTAAAAATACTAAGCTATTTATTCTCAAAATTTACATCAGAAACTACATAGTCTCTTGAATTCACTGTTCTTGTATTTTAAACAGCCTTCTGAGTAGAAAATATGCAAGGATCTGTATTTAAAGAAACTAAATTATATATTTAAGACCCTAAAGACTGGAATAAGCTCCAAGGTAACTAGGCAGCCCAAAATTCAATTTATATTCAAATGCAATTTGAAGAAAACAATCCAGCATGATAAATAGATTAAATTTTAATTTAAACATTTAAAACAATTTTCAGCAGCATAACTTTCCAGGATGCTGCGAGAGGTCTAACCTGCCAATTTTGCAGGTGTGAGTCAGGTACCTACACTAGAAACCATCGTGCCGTAACATTCCTTTCGGGAACTTTTGATTTTACAGATATTTGCAGCAAGTTTTAGGAAACATTTTATAAAGCAGAGTTTGGGGAAAACTTCCAAAACGTTGATCAGCTCACTTAAGTTGACCATACCTAGTATGAATGGCAAAGATCTAACGACCACTATCCAAGTGTGAAGGAGCCACTAGGCTTCCAACGTCTCACTCTTGGCTCTGAGCTATTAAGCACATTTTACCATCTTTGCAAACTTCCAAAGTATATAAAAAGTAGCTTTTGCCTCAAGCGCACAAATAAAAATAAAAATTCTGCCCAGATCAAATCCGTACAGGGGTGTCAAGACTTAAAAGGCCAAGGCAGCTCAATCACCAGGCGGCAAGCTCATAAATGGGTAGCTCTCTTCTGTTAGCATGCCAGCTAAAGGGTCTTGCCCCATCGCAGTCATCGCGGGTTGCTAACAGAGCACTACCATCTCCTTCAAAGCTATAGTGGTGACTAGGGTGAGAAAAGAATGGTTTTCAGAAAAGAATGAGAAATGAGTATGACATACTCCCCTCCTACTTCACATGCAAAGAAACAGCATTATTATTTTTTGAGTTCTCTATATCATGGTCTTAATTACAGCTGGGGCTTAATACAGATAGATAGCATTTCTAAAAATCACCACCAAAAACGGAAGGGAGAGAGGGAGGAAGAGGGAGGCAGAGAGAAAGAGAGAAAGGTCTACATGGCCTTAATCCAAACTTACCTTCTCTAGAATTTCTGCACTTATGCTGTGAGGTAGGCAGCGTGGGAATATTGCCTTCTTCAGTTCTTTTCCTGGAGTTGGAACTTTCCTCTACACTTTGCTGAAAAGAAGGAAAGGTGTCCATCAGTGCAGGAGAAATGACTGCGACCAGGGGATGTAGCAGTTCCACTCTGGCTCACCAGTTAGTGTGCGACACAATGGGTTACGCACAAGAAAGGAAAACTCTGGAGTTCACAACAGTCATCAAATAAAAGCAACACCTCTCCTCAACCCAATGTGAGCAGAGCTGGGAGAATCCCAAACCTGGGGTAAAAAAATCTGCACAAAAGGCCAAGATCTACTATTAAAAACAGGCTATCAATATGAAGTCTTTAGCCTACTACAAAATTAGGCGTAACTGAGAAAACATGTGAAACCCTAGCCATATACCAAGATGATCATAAAGTTTTCCCAGGTTTGGGAAGCTTTAAGAAACGGCCTGACATGAACTTAATTGCAACAAGCCTGTTAAAATCTAATACAGCAATTTCCTCAAACACCTACGTACATACAACACCACACACTCACACACAGGCACACACAAACCCCAAAGAAAATGCAACTGGAAGAACTGAAGATCAGAAGTGCTACATCCCAAAGAAAGATTCAGAGACTGGAACTCTGTTATGGGCAGAACAGAGAAGGTTGACTCTGTCCCTGGTCTGTGAACTCCCAAGAACCTTTCTTGTTAAAGTCTTACCAGATTCAAGGAAAGGTCTTGGGAGTCCAAGATCATAGGTACAGAGAAGGGGCCACTCTGTACAACAAAAGAAGTCACCGTGTGGTGGTTTTACCTTCAGCTGGTCTTGACCTGGAATATCCATACTGTGATCCTGTGCGAGAGCGAGAGTCTGAGCAGCATCTGGATGGCAAGTAAAACAAAAGGGAAACCTTCCCTGGTAATAGCCATTCTCTCCACACAAAAAGGACCTCAGCAAACAACCCTGGAGCCAGGTTAGGTCCCTAAACATGTACTTCTCCACTGTGGCTGTACAAGGCTCTCATCCAAAAGGAAAGGAAAAAAATCAAAACTAGTAAAAATGGCACAGACCAAGAGAGGCTATATTCAAAATATACCATCAAAATATCATCTGAGGAAAAAGGAAGAAAAATGACTAAAAAAAGGTTCTTCCACAGCACCCTTTCAAATTTTAATATAAAAAGTGATTCCAAACAGGGAATAATGGAGAGTATTTTATCATCTCTTCCTATAGGTGTATTTCTAAATTTGCCTAACTTAGGCAAAACAACAAAAAAAAAATTGGCTTTTTAATTTAATTTTTGTTTCAAATGTTAAAGTTACACAGGATTATGAAATCTGAAAAATCTGGAATTTTTCCCACTTGCTTTATGACATCCTCATATAAACTTACGTTCTAAGTGTCAATGATGATTTCACAGTTTAAATTCCCATCACATGAATACAGATGAATTTTTTAATCAACAAATCTTATTTTTCTCAGTTCCTATAAACATTTCCTAAGAAGGAAGAGGAAGCAGATAGTTTTTCTTAAGGTCAATAAAAAGAAGCAAAGAAAACAATAACTTAAGAGAAATTTTGAGAGAAATGAATCTCAAAGCCTTAAAAATTTTTCAAGCAGAACAGAAGATGAAAACTTAAGCTACAGGAAAAGAACAAGATGCAGAAAATTGAACAACGTGGATCATTCACTATATGAGGCCATATGTAACTATATGCATCCAGATAAATCTATCATGGACTGGTTCAGCAGCTACTATAAAGTCCAGAAGTAAGACACTTATGGAAAATGTCATCCTCGTCCAATAAAGACGGCTAGAGAAAGAATTCAGATTCTACAACTGGTCTGACAACTCAGTTGTTTTGCACAAAGCAAGCATTTTCAACATTGTAATTACAGAGTATTATTTCTAGAAGCATTTTTATAGATAAATGGAGATACTGAGATGTTAAAGAGCCAGCATTTTCTGACCACAGTGGTCTTCAAAGCTCAATTAATATACAATGCAGATGAAGCATTTCTTTAGTAAAGGAATTCAACTTCTGTCACTTCTAGTTCTAAAGACTAACTGCCTTAATTAGGTTAAAACAATTAGAAGCAAAAAGAAATTGTAGGGGAAAGCTACAGTGTAAAAAGGAATTTTAAAATAAACTGAAAACTTGTCATATATATTTTATTTTATTAGAACAGATGTGGAAATTTAAAGACATGATTTATAAAGATTCATCTTCACTTCAAACAATGGCATTTTCTTCAACCATCAAAATAAAAGGTTTATCTCATTTGCAAAGGTATAAAACAGTTGATATGGAAAGCACTTTTCTCACTTGTCCCTTCAAATAAAACACATGCAACTCAATTTATGAAGCACAGAAACAGCCAACCATTAGCAATAATGGGAGTTCATTCAGAACAGACAATCAATCAAAATTACTGTGGGGGTAATTTCCTGGTTTTGATCATTGTATCATGGTTATGTAAGATGTTACCATTTGGGGAATCTGGGTAAAGAGAACACAGACCTCTCTTTTTAATACCTTTGCAACTTTTTTGTAGGTGAAATTATTTCGAAGTGATCAGTTAAAGAACAAAGAAAATATTTAAAAGATTTAACATTCTGATTAAAATAAAAGTGTTAAAAAATTAATTGGGCAAATTCTGTTACAAGAAAGGGTTAAGGAGACATCAGCATGTGGCACAAAAGGAAGAGCACAGACTGGCCCATCAAAAACATCCGCTCTACCTATCAGCAGCACCTCACCTTGGACAAATTACTCATTCTACTGGAGGGGGGAAAAAACCAAAACCTCAACTCTCCATCTCCAGACCTTCCTCACAGGGCTGTTGTCGGGAAAAACTGAAATGTTTGTTACAGAAGTGTTCACCTTACTATCTGGCATGTTAAATTCTGCTGAAGGAGTGCAAGAAAGAAAATGAGAGTAAGAGTGAGAATTATACCCACTCTAGATATTCAGAGAACAGATAATCAGAAAACAAATTTTGCTGAAAGAGTAGATCAGCAAATATAAAATTCTCTTGAGTATTTCAAGCCTGTGATGACTGTCCCAGGAAAGCTACACTCACAAGTGACTGAATTTCAATAAAGTGCCATATAATTTGCAAGGTCCTCCCTCTAAAACAGAAATTTACAGCTGGGTGAAGTGGACACCTAGCTCAATGAAACCAACAGGCTTCAAAATTCAACATAAGTTCAAACCACATTTCAGTATGACAGCAAAAGTCTCTATGCTCTCACTTTAAAGCATAAGTCTTTATTAGGAATGGATTTTTTCCAACTTACTTGTTTCAGTAAACTGCTGAAAAATAGTCAATCTAAAGGGATTACAAAAACGGACTTTCTTCAAAAGACAATGTATCTAAAATCTAATTTGAAACTCACAAAAGGGCTTCATGTAGGAATGGAGAAAGAAAAGTTTCATTCTTCGGAAATGAGTGAGGTTACATTTTAGTTGTATCCAGTTTATTCACTTATCTCTAACACATCAAACCTCACACCCCAAAGCAGCCAGTTTCTGTACCTAATAAATTAAACTCAAAAGGCAGTATTTATAAGGTATGGAATCGGGGGTGAGGGCAGCAAGGCATATAGCTCAATGATGAGTGTGTGCTTAGCATGCACGAGGTCCTGGGTTCAACCCCCAGTGTCTCCACTAAAATATATACATACACATATTTAAATAAATACCCCTCAAAGAAAAACAAAAATTTTTTAAAATGTACGGAATCAAGCAAAGAGAGAAACTGGTATTCAAATAGCAGAAAGCTGAAATCTTTAGGTGAAAGGTTCTTAGGGGACCTTTATAACACATGGATCAGGGTGAAACCATGTAAGTCCACAGAATCTTAGCATCACTGAGAGACAAGCAGATCTCACACGGCTCTGACGTGATGCAACAGGCGTACAAAGCACCACCTAGGTAACATTCTCAGCAAAAAATTTAAACTTGAATTTACTCAGGGACTGTTAGTTTACCAAAAATAGAAAAGATACAAAAACATGTTAAACAACATCACAGGGATACAATCTGCAAACGAGAATGTGGGAAATTCTATAGGACAAAGGATCCATTTCTTCAATAAATAAATGACATAACAAAAGGAAGGTTAAGTTTTATAGATTAAAGATACTAAGAGATGTATCAACCAAAGGCAAAGTGTGGACTTTGGATCCTGATGTGAACAAGGCAAATGCAAAAGGTACGTCTTAAATAACTGGGGTTAACTACACATGAACTGGCTACTGGATAGTATTATGGAGTTACTATTCGTTTTGCTTAATGTTATTAATTTTGTTGGGTGTAATAATGGCATTGCAGTTATGTTTGAAGGAAAAAGGTCCTTATCTGTTAGAGATTTTTAAAGCCTGTACAGATGAAGGAAATATGGTAAAACATTAACAATTACTAAGTCCTTACAAGACATGGGCATTAATTATACTAATCTCTATTTTCAGTATATTTGAAAATGAAAAGTCAAATAACACAGTAATCACAATCTGTGTGACAGGTATCTCTCCCAGTCATGCCAAGACAGCATTCAATTTCCATCTTGATCCTCCTTATTTTCCCATGATTCACGCCCTTGAACTCAAGACTATGATACAGCCTGAAGAAATATGATGTGACATACCTGTAGTAGCAGTAGCTAAAGTGACAAGATTCTTTCTTAGCATATCATAGAGAGGGCTGTCAGAGAGATAAAATAAAAAATTAATAATTCTATGGTTTTCCATTAAAACATTAAGTATATTTCTGATACATTATCTCCCAACTTTCTCTATGGTATATATATGCAGACACAAAATTTTTTCCCCAAAATAGAGTTTTAAAAATTATTTAAATATTAACATGTTAATACCCAAGCCCTTGTGTTACTTTGCCCCCATTAAAAAAAATCTAATTTACATTTTATTTCAAAAGCTAACAGTAACCCAAGTGGGGAGATTTCCTTTGGAGACTATTGCTTCCTTCTAAGAGTTAAGTTTTACATTTTACTGGAGAGTGAGTACAGAAGGGAGTCTTAGAAGACACCATCATCACAAAGCTATAGAGAGAAAAAGAGCACTGGCTTTTAATTACAGATTAGCTTTTGACTGTGTTAAGTTAATAACCAGAGACCCTGTGTAGCTGGCGAATGCCACGCAACAGGGCAGCACAGACCTACCATGATTCTTACAAAGCTCACTATCCACCTCAACCTGCCCAGCAACTCTCCATTTCTCGCATCAGCTCACTCCTCTCTCTTCAACAACTGTCTCACAAAACCCTAAGCGAGTTATATCAAGCTCCCTCCTCCGAGGCCTTTCCACATGACGTCCAATCAGCCACAAGCTTCTCCTTCCCTTTAATTACCCTTCAGCTCTCAGCTCAAATAGCACTTCCTCAAGGAACTCTTCCTGACCCGTAAGACCCTAAACCCATCCCTTGAGACAGTTTCACGTGCCTTTTTACATAACACTTATCGCAGTGTAACTTTACCACGCACCAACGTGGTAACTGACTAAGACGGGGAAGGGTCTACTGTCTCATTACTCTCTGAACGTCATACGGTCAGAGACTGTGCGCTCACTGCCACGTTCTCAGTGCCGCACAGCCACCTGCCGTGTGCAGGCCCTTAAATGTTTGTTGACTAAAGGGTAAGTAACTGTGAATACCCTATGCAGATCCAGTGGTTAGGTATAAGCACCCCAAAAGATAAACAAACCCCCACTCTTTTTACCTTGGATCTTTCACGGAGAAGCTCTGACGACCTAGCAGTTCCCCCAAGAGGTCTCCACCACAATACACCATGTGCTGCTCCTGCTGGTCATACAGCTGCTTCACCATTATATACTGGCCCAGGTAGTGCATGACCTACGTGCAAATAAGACAGCATGAAGGGGTCTGTCCAGCGCTGCCAAAAACACAAATTAACTATGAGGAGATAAGGTGAGTCAGTTTGCTAGATAAAGAAATATTATACCAGGAACATGCCTGATGTGCTTGTGTAAGAGGACTGCTGCCCCAGTCACAAGGTTCACCCACTTATCACCACTCTGGAGAGTAACAGACCCTTACTTTTTAGAACAGAAATGTACTGATCTGATAGCGAGAAAGAGTGATGAACTTACCGAGTTCCTAGTATCCCCTTAAAAATGTTCTCACCAGTCCAAATAAAGGGGTCTGTTCTATTACTAGAAGTAATAAAATTTAAATTTGCCTGGGTCATAAAAATATTTTCCAAGTCCAGAGGCACATAACCACTATAGGCTTTGATGAGCGTTCACTTAATTCTTTTTGGCAAATAAAAGTACAATGGTTAACAAGCCGTCAGCATTGTAAGTGTGTAAAACAGAGAATCCAAGTGTTTATCAAATGAAAATTTAGTCTACCTGAACTTTTTCACAGAGTTCATAAAATGGAAGGGAACACAGACAAGTTCATGATTCAAAATTTTAAAACTATCTGATTTTCCTAATGTTTCCTCCAGGTGGTAGAGTTTTTAAGACTGCTTAATAGTTAGGTTCACTTAATGATCACAAGCAGACCAAAGCTGCTATCTTTATCTTTAGGCCCTTATTATTACATATTTGCACAAAATTTTTCCCTATACTGTTCCCAGTATATTGGAGTAATGATGCTCTTAGGCTCCCCTCCATCCCAGGCAACATGTCTCCGTATTAACGGAGCTCTCATATCTAATCAAGTATCTAGAGAAAAGTAAGATGGGCAAGAATACATACTATAAGAAAAAAAAGGAAGTTTTATATTTATGTCTGTCCAACTTTCAGAAAAAAATAAATCCAATCTGTACAAAGATCTTCTAAAACACTAGACTAAATTTGTATATACTACTACTATTCTCATTATACCACACTGCTTCATTGCACATACTGATAACTAATATTTAAAAATAAAAAACTAGAAAATTCCTCTTTATGCACCAGGTGGTGTCAAGATTCATAACAGAGAGCTTATTGTGTACACTGATCTGTCAACTTTCTCCCATAAAATAACCTCCCTGAACAACATGTAATTAATTTCATCTTAACCCAGGCAAACTCTGCCATGCTACTGAAGGAGATAATACAGTGTATTATAGTGATGCTACTGATATAAAAATCCACTTAAATAAAAGTTTGGAAAAAAGTCATGTTCATCAGATTTCAGATAGAATCCAAAATGATGCACTTAATTCAAAATGATAAAAGAAATATGAGTGTTGCAGAAAATCTGAAATGCCTCCAGATTTGTTTCCTTAAGAGGGAGAATGGCTCAGGGGTACAGCATTGCTAACAGGTGTCAAGCTTTTAAGACAAGTCAAAAAAAAGCTTATTAATTGTGTGCACTGTTTAAAAAGGGTTAGATCTTTACCCTACTAAATCCAAGCAGTTTGAAGAGATTAACATTTTAATACTGAGTCATTTCCACTTAAAGAACTCAATCTAGTTTGTTTTAAAAAAAAATTCAGAAACTAAATAAATTATTTAAATGTATACTGTTTAAAATAACTCACTGTTCTCAGAAGAGTATCTGATACATTTATAATGAAAAATTACTGCACCGAATTTCTGCCTGGCAGCATATCCTATAAATCATAGACAGTGTCATTTTTTTAAATCTTGTACATGTTTCACATTTTAACTCTGAGATCAATGAACTTATGGTTCATCTCATGTTTAGCTGACAACACACTTTGTTTAAAAGGAAATTTAAAGGAAATATAAAGTTCAACTTAGCTCAATGGTCTTTAAAACAGAACAAAAGTCACTCCAGTACCTCAGGAGAACTTACTTTTTTAGGCCTAATTTCAGAATTACAAATTCATAAAGTTCTACTTCTCAGCTTTTCTTAAAACGGAAAATTTTCTTCGATGGCTTACCTCTTTAACAGTGAACATTTCACCTTGTGCACCTGCTGCCTGCAAAATCTTCAAAAGTGGCAGTTTTGGTCGTACCTGATATAAACATAAAATAAACCTGTTCTTTACATTTCAATTATATTGGTTTCTGAAACCCTAGGGGAAAACAAACCCCCTCAAACTTTTTTTTTAACAAACACCTAGTAGACACTTAGCATCTTTAATAACTACAGATGATCAGACTATTACTTGTTGCCTTCCTGAAAAATCACGTTTTCAAAAGACACCACATTCACACCCCTTAGGATGGCTAAGATAAATGGAAAAAAGAAAAGAAAATAACAAGTGTTGGTGAGGATGTGAAGAAACTGGAACTCTTGTGCGCTGCTAGTGGGAATATAAAATGGTGCATAGCTGCTATGGAAAACAGTTAGGTAGTTACTCAAAAAGTTAAACACAGAATTACCATATGATCCAGCAGTTTCACTCCTAGGCATATATCTAAAAGAACTGAAAGCAGGGACTCAAACAAACGTTTGTACATTGGTACACAGCAACATTATTCATAATAGCCAAAAGATGGAAACACCACTGACAGATGAATGGATAAACAAGATGTGGTATATACATACAAGGGATAACGACTTTGTTTGGCATCTCTTGACTCTGTACAGTCTGTCTTTAGTCACACAATTTAATTTTTTTCATTTTATATAATCAAATTTATGTCTCTCTTCCTCTTACAGCCTCCTTAGTTTTTGTCTTACTTAAGGCCTCCCTTATTCTAAAGTTTCACAAATATTTCCTAAACTTTTCTTCTAATATTTTTATCATTTCACTTTTTATGTTTAAATCTTTATCTCTCTGGCAATTTGTTTTTCTACAAGGTTTGGAGTCTTCATTTGTTTCCTTCTAGAGATGGCCAATTAAGTCAAAACCATTTATTATATAAGTCACATTTCCTCCCATCAAATCCAAATTCCATCTTTATCATAAATTAAGGTACATAATACTATATATGGTACAATGTTTATGAAAACCAAAACAAAATTATGTATTTTTATGTTAGAGGAAAAGATCTGGAACAAGATCCATCAAGTGTTATCCCAGGGAAGGGACTCTGAGGGAAGAAGGGAAGAAAGGAGTCTCTACAGATAAATACTTGACAGATAAATACACGATAAAGTTTGAATTTTTTTATAAGAATACATTTGCTATACTTACAATTTAAAATTGATTTTTAAAGAAAGCAAACTAGTTACAATGAAGTGAGAAAAACAGAAAACAAACATATAACTTGGCCCCAAATTTTCCACTAGCTACCCAGACCCTAAAACATAATAGTTTTCAGAATGTGCCATTTTGAGCAATCTGTAACCTCCAAATATTTATTTAATCAATGATAATTCAAATTTATGAGCATTGGTACTGTTTACTAGTTTCCCTCATATGACATTTTGCAAAGTAATCCTTTCTGGTCTGCATAAAATCCTACAGTGAAGCCGGCTACATGCCCCAGTTCAATTTTTAAAAACTCAAAAGAAAAATAGGTTTACTTATTTATTTAATTTTTAGAGGAGGTACTGGGAATTGAACCCAGGACCCTGTGTATGCTAAGCATGCGCTCTACCACTTGAACTATACTCTCCCCCAAAAGAAAAATAGGAATGCCTAAAAATAACTTACCTGGTTGGTTTGTTCTGGAGAGATCCTGCAAGCACTGTCAGATGTTGAACACTGTGCAGAGGTGGAAAATGACGTCATTTTGGCAGTGAAAATATTGCAGTCCGTTGATAAATCTAAAAGGTAAAAAAAAATTATAAAATCTCTTCTAAAGGAGAAAATTCTCTTTAGAATTTACAAAAAAGCAGCTAGCAGAAGTAAAAAAGACATACATCAGAGTACAACTGCAATATACCCATGCTGAGGTTCCTGTTACCCTTCTGATCACTTTTTATTTCAGATCCTGCAAAAAAAAGGAGCTTAATTAAGAGTAAGAACCATCTCGACTTCCCTCAAGTGAAGCCTGCAAGAGAAACAGGTTCAGGCATGCTCCGACCTCCACATTGATGATGAGTCAACTGTTCCAGCTAGAAGTGAAATGTACAATCATTATGTCCCCAGTGGATCAGATTATTCTTCAGCATCTCCTCCCCTCTTGGACAGTGCTCAAGAGCACCCGTAGGAGACAGACGCACAGCTGGGGATTACCAAGATTAAGTAATAGATTAAGATTCCAAGATTACACCAAGGAAAACCTCTGCAACAAGCTGGAACATGTCTTGGCAAGAGACCACAGGAAAGTAAAGAGTTAAAATATTCAGTATCAGTTAAAGCAGCTTTTAAAATGTGCCAAACCCAAAAAGAGTACACCAACTAAATACCTATATAAAATGGTGTTAAACTAAGGCGGATATACATAGCATCAAGGAAAGATATAACATGAACTGAAATAAAGAGTAAGGTTTAAAGTTTTTCACCTTTTACCTTTTGTCCTTAAAAAAAAAACTATAGGGAAGGAAAATAAATTTTTAAATAAACTGAGTTTACCTGCAGAACTTCTCCTAGGAAACAGGTGACAAAAGTCAGTGAAATTTATGAATTAAATAAACCAACACTCTGGCTTACAGCTACAAAGATTCCTCACTCTCCTCAGAAGTCTTATTAACTACAACAGAGTATAAATTCCACCCTCCTTCTATCAGGTTCCCTTGCTACAAAACAGGAAATCAAACAGGACATAAGCATAACATAATTTTAAAGCACCTAGCTTTTAACTGGCATTTCAAACCTTAAAAATTAAAAAATATTTTTAAAAAAATTTCATCTCCCCAAATCTGCTAGTCCTGTAAGTCTTCCCCATCTTAGTAAATGGCACCTCCACCCTTTCAGTTACTCAGGTCAATGACATTGAAGCTACCCTTGATTCCTTTTTTCCCTCACACTTGACACCCAGTTTATGAATAAATTCTGAAGCTCTATCTTCAAAATATATTCAAAATCAAACCACTTCTCCCTACTTCCATCATTACTACACTAACCACGCTGCCCACCTCTGAACTGCATTAGCCCCTAAAGGTTTTCTTGCTTCCACCCTTGCCCCTCTGGCTCCTAACCTCCTCCTTTTGTCTTTGCTCAAAACATCAGTTTATCAATGAGGCCTTCCAATGACCACACAACCCCCAACCCCTAGTATTCCTTATTGCTTCCCTGCTTTATTTTTCTTTTCTTCACTGTTCTTGTTACCAGCAACACACTATTTAGTTTCAATTTTTATCATGCAAAACAAACTGTAAGTGGAAAGGGATTTCCATTTATTTGTTCATTAATATATCTTCAGTGCCTAAACTGACAATTATATATGTGGTAGAACATGGTGGATACAAATATTAATAACAGTGTGGATATTTTCAAAAACGGCCCCCAATGAACCACATCTCCTAACTGGCTTCTCCACTGAAGACCACATAGAAAGGCCAGGTGGAGGAGCTCAGTCATCCAGCTGCGCTCAGCTTTCCAGCCACATCCTCCAAAGCACCACACATCTCAGGACACTTGAGTGCCAGCTGACAGCTAACTACAGCTCTATGACAGACTACAAGTGAGACCAACAGAACCAACTCACTGAATGGGATGTTCATCCCACAGAATCATAAGAAATAAAATGGCTGCTGTTTTAACACACTAAGTTGTTGGGTGGTTTATTACAACACAGGATTGGATAATGATAAATGGCAAAGACTTATATAGAGCTTATTCTGTATCAAGTACATATATTAATCCACTAAATACTTTTT